GCGCCCTCCTTTTTTTTCCTTTGGGGGTTTCTTTGTCTACCCATGTTTGATCATACCGCCACGTCTAGATGCTGAGTCTTTCGGTGGCTGGTCCTTGGGTGGCAGTGGCTCCTCGGGCTGCGGTTGCTCCTCGGGCGGTTATGGTAGCAGCTGCTCCTCAGTTGGTAGCAACTCCTCTGGTGGGTGCAGTTCACAGTTGTGGTGGCTCCTCTGGCTGGTGGGGGGAGGCTTCACACACAGCTGCTGTTCCTCAGACAGAGTCAGATAAATTTTCTTATTTTGAAGTCTGTTCTGTCTGAAATTAATATAACTTACGTGTTTTTTTGGTTAGTGTTGGCAGGGAATATTTTTCTCCACCCTTTTACTTTTAAATATAAGTATATTTAAAGTGGCTTTCTTGTAGGTAAAGTCTGATTTTTTTAATCCATTTTGACAAATCAATCTTTTAATTGGTATATTTAGACCATTGGCATCAAAGTGATTATTTATATAGTTAGAGTTATATCTGTCATATTTATTACTGTTTTCTATTTGTTGCTTTGCTCTTCCTACTTTTATCTGCCTTCTGTGATTTTAATTGAGCAATTTATATTATTTTCTCTTTTTTTAGTATATCAGTTATATATATATTTTAAAAACTTTGTTAGTGGTTGCCCTAGAGTGCAGTATACATTTACAACTAATACATATTTAAATACATTGTTGCTATTGTTATTTTGAACAAATTATTTGTTAGATCAGTTAGGAATAAGAAAGTTTTTATTTTACTTATTCCTTATTTGATGGTCATTCTTTCTTTATGTAGACCTGAATTTCTCTCGCAAGCACTCCTTTTAACATTTCTTACAAGGCAGGTTGACTGGCAACAAATTTCCTTAATTTTTGTCTAAGAAAATAATTCTCCACCTTTGAAGCATAATTTCACAAGATATAGAATTCTAAGTTGGTTTTCTTTTTTTCCTCAACACTAAATATTTTACTTCACTCTCTTTTTGCTTGCATGGTTTCTGAGGAGAAGTTGTTTGTAATTCCTACCTTTATTTCTTTATAGGTAAAGTGTTTTCCCCACCTCTGGCTTCCTTTAGGACTTTTAAAAATTATTTATTTTTCCATAGTTTGAAGTGATATGCCTTGGTTTGGGAGCATTTATCCTGCTTAGTGTTCTGAACTTCCTGGATATGTGGTTTAGTTTCTGACATTAACTTATTATTGTT